ATTGCCTTGAGAAAACCAACAGTCGGTTCCATGTGTAAACAGCTCTTGATTACTTCATGTGGATCACCAGTTGTGTATTGACATAAGAAATATAGTTTATCAGTATCATCAGCTGCATATTTTTCAACCCGATTCTCAAAGGCCTTGATAAATGTTCTATATTGAGAAACATCACCATTAAATTTGGTTATTTCCACTTTGGGAAGGAGACTTCGTCTTTGTTGAGCTAAGATCATTTCTGAAAGCTCTATTTGGCGTTTAACAATATCGTTTACTGGAGTAGACAAAGGTTGAGGGACTGAATGCTGTTGATCGTTAGACTCTGGATACACACTAGGTAATTCTAGATCTTCAGGTAAATCTAAGGGAGTGTCTGTGAATTGGATTTTGGGAGACAACACCGGCATAGATTGTTCAAATAATTGTTCGTTTAAAGCCTTTTTTCTAGCCCTAGCTACATTTAGCTCCGTTTTTAATTTCATGGCATCATAGTTTGATTGTGCTTCCACTTTTCTGTGTAACAATAAGTTTTCAGCCTGAAGAGCTTGAGCTCTTAATGACAGTTCAGCTAGATTGGCATTTTCTCGAGCCAATAACGCACTTGATGAAGTCTTATCCGACACAGAAGTAATTTGATCTTCATCAACATCCAAATCAAGTTTAGGTAGAGAATTGAAGGTTTGGTCTTCATCTCGCCAGGGACTGCTTTCAAACCAGGTATATTTATGAGTCATACTGCATTATTTTGTTCTCCAAAAAAAAATGAAAGGTTACACAAGTTCTAAACTTTATGATGCAGCAAGGCATCACCCACTGTGGGCGGGACGTTCGTTCCTTTCATGAATTAAGGAGAAACAATTCAGTTACTATTTTTACGTTTTATTACGACACCTCACATTCCACACACACAGTTCACAAATAATTCGTTTGATGCGTTAGATGATTATACAGTATGTCGTTAAGCAATATGGGTATATAAAACGATGTGAAAAGACGTGAAAATACGTGGTTTAGCTGTAAAGACAAAAATACATATTCTTTAATATCAATAAAAGATTTACCACAACAGTCACTATGATGAATTCAATGCACGTGGGGAGGCTTAGTGCATAAATGTCTTAAAATATGAAATTGCTTAAATGACATGTCAGGAATTATATTGCCGTTAATTCATATGTTCGTAAACGTTGTATTTAAAACATTATTACTTTACACTTACAACTTGTGAGGGGGTATATGCGTTAATTAATGATCAATAGAATTCTATGAAATATAAAACAATGGCGGCGTTTGTTAATAAGGCGGTTCGTTACGTTGATCATAGTGCAACTTACAGTTCTAGGGCTTACTTCGTTTAATGCGTTACTCTTAATACAAGCGTTGTACTAATATTTCTG